TATGGTAAGATGACACAAAACCCCATGACAATAATGTGTTCAACGTCAATGGTCTAAATTCACTAATTAAGAGTGGCAAAATGGATTCAACATTCTGTTGCCTACAAGAAAAACAAATAAACAGTGAGGATAAACACAGACTCAAAGTCAAATGATGAAAAACAATCCTGCAAGAAAACAATCCCCTCAAAAATCCTGGGGTGGCCTTACTAGTATCAGACAACATCTACATGGGATCTACACGGGACTTTATATCCCCCCAAAATATAATACACATCCTTTTCCAATGCACGTGTAACATTTTCTAGAAGAGATCATATGTTGGGCCACAAAGCAAACCTCAACAATGTCAGAAAGACAGATATTGTATCAACATTCCTTTCACACCATGATGCACTGAAGATAGAAATTAATCACGTAAATAAGCAGAAAACCAAATCAAACACGTGGAAATTAAACAACTCAATTTGAAATAACGAATGGATCAGGAAAGAAATCGAGGAAGAAATCAAGAGGTACATGGAAACAAATGAGAATAAATACACAAGCTACCAGAACCTGTGGGACACATCTAAAGCCATGTTAAGGGGAAAATTTATAGCACTTCAAGCATTTCTGAAATCAATGACATGAAACCCAAAAAACAATCCGACAGATCAATGAGACCAAGAGCTGGTTCTTCGAAAAAATAAAGAAAAATTGATAAACCACTAACAAAATTCAAAAAGAAAGAGAGAGAAAAACTCTAATAAACCAAATTAGAAATGAAAAGGGGAAGATAACAATGAAAAACAAAGAAATTCAGAAGATAATCAGAGACTACTTTGAAAGTCTATGTGCCACAAAACAAGAGAACTGAGAAGAAACAGATAAATTCCTGGATTCCTATAATCTCCAAGGCTGAATCAAGAAGATCTGGAATACCTGAATAGACCTATTAATATCAAGGCAATTGAAACTGTAATCAAAAGTCTTCCCAAAAACAAAAGCCCAGGTCCAGATGGATTCACTAGCGAATTCTTCCAAACATTTAAAGAGGACCTGTTGGCAGTTCTTCTCAAGATTTTCCAGGAAACTGAAAAAACAGAAACTTTCCCAAACACTTTCTATGAAGCCCATATCTCCCTAATAACAAAAGGAAACAAAGACACCACAAGAAAAGAAAACTACAGGCTGATATCCCTGATGAATAGAGATGGAAGACTCTCAACAAAATACTAGCAAAAAGAATTCAACAACTCCTCAAAAAGATCATACACCATGACCAAGTGGGATTCATCCCGGGTATGCAAGGACGATTTAACATTTGGAAATCAATCAACATAATCCATCATATCAACAAAAGAAAAGACAAAAATCATATGATCATATCAATAGATGCAGAGAAGCATTTGATAAGATCCAGCACCCGTTTATGATAAAAAGCCTCACTAAAATGGTATAGAAAGGACTTTCCTCAATATAGTTAAAGCCATCTACCACAATCCTATGCCAAGCATCATCCTGAATGGGGAAAAACAGAGAGCCTTCACTCTAAGATCAGGGACGAGAAAAGGATGCCCACTCTCTCCAGTGCTTTTCAATATACTACTCAAAATACTTGCAACAGTGGTTAGGCAAGAAAAAGATATTAAGAGCATTCAGGTAGGAAAGGAAGAAATCAAGTTTTCACTATTCACAGGTGATATGATACTATACTTAGAGAACCCTAAAACCTCTACCAAGAAACTCCTAGAAACAATAGATTTGTATAGTAAAGTGACTTGAAAAAAGCAATCCCGTTCACAATTGTGCCCCAGAAAATCAAGTACGTAGGAATCAGTAAGTAAAAGACCTGTACAAAGAAAACTACAAAACGCTACTTCAGGAAATATAAGAGGACACGAGGAAATGGAAAGATAAGCCCCGCTCATGGATCGGGAGAATTAACATTGTCAAAATGGCAATACTCCACAAAGCATTGTACAAATTCAATGTGATCCCTATAACAATATCCATGACATTCTTCAAAGAAATGGAGCAAACACTCCTGAAATTCATGAAGGAAGCACAGTAGCACTGTAGCACTATCTTCACTTGTTCATCGATTTGCTTGAGCGGGCAATAGTAACATCTCCATTGTTGAGAATTTTTACTGTTTTTAGCATATCAAATTCATCACGGTTAGCTTGCCAGGCTTTGCCATGCGAGATACTCTCCGTAGCTTCCGTGCCCTCCAAAAGAGGAGGAGGAATCGAAGCAGGTTTGTCCAGGGTCTTCTGTATACGAGACAAGAACCCTACCCCCTATGCTATCGCTAGAGCCCCTTGAAATTCATATGGAAAAATAACCACCCAGGAATAGCTAAAGCAATTCTTGGGAAAAAGAAAATGGGAGGAATCAACCGCCCTAAATTCATACTCTACTACAAAGCAGAAATAACTAAACAGCATGGTACTGAACAAAGGCAGAGCTGTATACCACTGGAACAGAGTTGAATATACTAACTTTCCCCTCCTCTCCCCAAACATATGATTACCTAATCTTTGATAAGGGAGCAAGAAATGTGAAGTGGAGCAAGGAAAGCCTCTTTAACTAATTGTGCTGGCAAAACTGAACAGCTACATGCAAAAAAAAAGAAATGGGCTCAAATCTCTGTCTAACACCATGTACAAAAGTAAGATCAAAATGGATTAAAGACCTCAACATCAGACAGGAATCCATAAGGTCCATTGAAGACAGGTTGGCAAAACCCTCCACGACATTGAAGCTAATGGTATCTTCAAAGATGACTCGCCACTGGCCAAGCAAGTGAAAACAGAGAAAGACAAATAGGACTATCTTCAATTAAGAAGCTTCTACACCTCAAAAGATACAGTGACCAAAATAAAAAGATAGTCTACAGAATGGGAAAGGATAATCGTCCAATACCTATCCAACAAGGGGTTGATATCAAGGATATACAAAGTACTGGTTGAAATCCAAAAGAAGAAATCATTCAACCCCATCAAAAGATGGGGCGACGAAATGAACAGAAGCTTTCACAAAGAAGAAATCTGAATGGCAAAAAGCCACATGAGAAAATGTTCTACGTCATTAATCATCGGGGAGATGCAGATCAAAACAACAATGAGATATCAGCTCACACCACAGAGACTGGCCCACATCCAGAAGAACAAAAGCAACTGGTGTTGGCATGGATGTGGTGAGAATGCTGTTGGGAATGGCAACTGGTTCAGACCTTTTGGAAAACAGTATGGACGATTCTCAAAAAATTAGAAATTGAGCTCCCATTTGACCCGGCAATACCACTCCTTGGAATATATCCCAGAAAGGCAAAAAAGTTTAGTCAAAATGACATCTGCACTTCTATGTTCATTGCTGAACTGTTCACAATAGCCAAAATCTGGAAAAAAAAACCAAGTCTCGAGAACAGATGACTGGTTAAAGAAACTTTGATACATCTACACAATGGAGTATTATGCAGCTGTTCGAAAAGATGAAGTCAAAAATTTACATACAAGTGGTACTACATGGAAAGTATTATGCTAAATGAAATGAGTCAGACACAGAGGGACAGACATAGAAAGATTGCATTCATCTGGGGAATATAAAGTAACAAAATAGGAGAATAACACCCAAGAATAGCCGAGATAAGTACCAGGATGTCCACTCCATGCCTTGGAGGCCAGCCGCACATTCTAGGGGAAAAGGCAGCTCAGATAGAGAAGGGAGCAAGAAGTAAAGGGTGTTGGGAGGATCCTCCTAAGATGGGAGATGCATCTGAAAGCAGACTATAGACTAACATGATTGTCACTCAATGCCTCTTCTGCAAACCACAACACTCAAAAGGAGAGAGCAAAAGAAAATGCCCTGCCACAGAGGCAGGGTGGACTGGGGGGTTGGGTGGGTGGGAGGGATATTGGGATCATTCATTGGTGGTGGAGAATAGGCGCTGGTAGAGTTATCATTGTATAACTAAAACCTAACCAAAAAAAATTTGTAAGTCTACAACTGTACCTCATGGTATTTCACTAATAAAAATTTTTAAATAAATAAAAATAAAATCTCAATCTTCCTCTCCCTCTTCCTCCCCTCCCTCTCCCTATGACCCATCTCCCTTTCCTCACCTCTCCCTCTTCTCTCTCTCCCTTTCCCTCTCCATCTTCTTTTCCCCTCTCCCTCTCCTCCCTCTTCTACCTCTTCCTCTTTCTCTCCCTCTCCCTCCTTCTTCTCCTCCTCTCCATCCTCTCCCCCTCCCTCTCCAGCCACTTGCCCCCTCCCTTTCCCTCTCCCTCTCCTCCCCCTATTCCTCTCCCTCTCCATTTTTGGGCCACTGTCCTATCTCTCCAGCCCCCAGTTTCTCTTTCTAAATTCAAGTCTTCTTATAAAAAATTGCATAATAAAATTATGATAAGGCAAAGCTATGTTATAAAATGGTATTGTGATTTTCACTTTGCGTGTGTGTGCATGCGCACATGTGCGCGCATGTGGCACTCGCGAGTACACGCCCCACTCAGAGGTCCTCCCAGGGCTCTAAGCACAGAGTTCACCTAGGAATGCTCAGAGAACCATGCTTCTAGGGTTGAACCTGGAACTAAGCCTAGGCTTCTGTATCCAAAACATAATCTGCACACTATCTTTCTGGCTCCAATTTTGATTTCTTAAAAATTCAAAATGGGGGTAAAAAAAAGTGTTCTGAACAAATACAACCTATATTTCTTTAATACTCAGTAACAAAATAAATCTGATGCTTCAGAGAAACTTTTAAATATTGCTTACATCCTAATATAAGAGCTACATAATACTACCTTAATAAACTATTCAAAAACACCTTACATCATTTAAATAAAAAGAAACAAATACAGTTATATAGTTTAACAAGTAGTCACATTTTAGTTTACTCTGTGATTCTTTAACTGTGAATTAGCAGACTCATTGCAAAACAATAGTTTTTATTAAAAGAATTAGAATAAAAAAATCACTAGAAGAAACATATTTTATATTTTTTTTTACCATACCTTTAGCTAAAGCTTCTTTATATTTCTCTTTGGCAGAATTCATTTCTTTTACTAATTGTCGGTAGCTGGATTTTAATTTCTCTAATTCTGTCTTTGTAACCTGTCAAAAAGTAGGGGAAAATCATATGCTTATTTTTAATTGCTAAAGAACTTAAGTTCTAAAGCATAACTGATACACACTTTATGACATCGATAAGAAACATAAAATTAGCTTAACATAGGTAGATACACTTGAGAACATCAATCTCAGAAATATATTTGGAGACTTCACTGGTAAGGGGAGAAAAAGCAAGAAAAAAATAAAATATGTTAGTACATCAAATTTTAATGTTTTTATACAGTAAAATAAACTACCCTAAAACAAAAGACAATCTGAAACTTGAGAACAGATACCTTCACATAACATCACGCAAAATGCTGCCAAAATGTATACAAAACATGTCACACAACTCAACAACAATAAAATAAGCAATTCAATTCAAAAGAAAAAAGAAAAAAAACAGTCAAAAGAACTGAATAGAGACTTCTCAACTGATAATTAGATAGCTCACAGACATATTAAAAAAAATTTAAGAGTCTATGCAACTTATTAGAGAACTACAAATCAAAGTCATGATAACAACACTTTACAACAATTAGGACAACCTACATCAAAAAGATGAGAAACAATAAATGCTGTCAAGAATATGATATGAAGAAAAAGAAACTCTGGTACAATGTTGATGGAAATGGAAATTAACATAGTATTTATGCGGAAAAACCTATGGAAAAACCTGAAAATATAAATTATAGAAATCCTATATGACCCAGAGATACCTACTCCTAAAGCTAATACCTGAAAGATATGAAAAGTTACTCAAAAATATTTTCACAGCAGCATTATTCACAACAGCCAAAACCTGTATTAAATCTAGAAGTCCATTCACAGACAACTTGATTGCAAAACTGCAATATATATTCCATGGGATCGTACTGGGCCATTAAAAAGATAAAACTCTGCCTTTTGCAAAAACCTAGAAGGAATTTAATATGATTATGCTAAGTTAAACATAATTATCAAACATTTTCACTCAAATATAAAATATAATAAGCAAAACAAACAAACTAACAAGAATACTGCCCAATTAACTCCTCGACATGATGGTGGCTACTGTTGAGAAGAGAGAGGGGTAGTGGAGGATGCTGAGAAAGAACTTGTTAGTGGCGATGGCACTGTAACTTCTGTATTGTTATGGTAAATTTTATACACAAACTGAACAAAGCTAACTCCTTAAATTCTATAGTATTATTAACAAAAAAAATAAATATGTCACTAATCAAAATTAATGATATAGTCAACAGCACAAGACACTTAATTAAAGGAGCAAATAAAAAACATTTCTATTACCCAAAACTTTCAAACCAAGGGGCAGGAGTAAGAGTACCACGGATAGGGTACATGCGTTGCACAGGGCCAACCCGGGTTCAATTGCTAGCACCCCATAAAGTCCCCTGAGCACCACCAGAAGTGATCCCTGAATGCAGAGCCCTGGGCATTTCTGGATGTGACACAAAAAAACCAAAACATTTTTTTATAAAATAAAATTTTCAAACAATAAATTCTCAATAACATAATTTCCGATAATTTCTAATAAAAAAAACTAACTTAAATATTTACCATATTTATATGGGCTGGAGCGATAGCACAGCGGTAGGGCATTTGCCTTGCATGCAGCCAACATGGCCGACCCGAGTTCGATTCCTTAGCCCCTCTCGGAGAGCCCAGCAAGCTACCGAGAGTATCTCGCCCTCACGACAGAGCCTGGCAAGCTCCCCGTGACGTATTTGATATGCCAGACACAGTAACAACAAAGTCTCCAATAGAGACGTTACTGAGCCCGCTCGAGAAAATCGATGATCAACGGGAGGGCCTTTACTTTTACTATACAGACTAACTCTGAGTTAACAAAATTCTTCCCAGTTCTAGAAATAATTATTTTTTTTCTTTTTTTTTGGACCACACCCAGCAATGCACAGGGGTTACTCCTGGCTCACACACTCAGGAGTTACTCCTGGCAGTGTTCGGGGGACCATATGGGATGCTGGGAATCGAACCCAGGTTGGCCGCATGCAAGGCAAATGCGCTACCCACTGTGCTATCGCTCCAGCCCCAAGAATTACTTTTTTGACATTATTAAATCTCTTAAAAAATAATAGATTCAATAGTCACTGTTGGTCAGACAATACTCAAATTTCTGAAGACATGTAAACATAGTTATTATTTTTAATGAAAATTAGACATCTCTGATTTGGTTCTTTGATTTTGGAGTCCATTCAAATAATGTCTAAGAAAAAATAAGAGAGCTACATACTGAGAAACTACTGCCATTCTTCCTAAGAAAACAAAGAAATATGCAGCATACGAAACTTGCAAAAAGGTACACAATTTGGAAGAAAGCCCTAGAGCCCACTTTCAATGAACTCTATATCACCATTGACTTTAATGGCACTGTCAAAGAAAAAGAACTATAATGGGTTGTACTTAAGTTTGAGTAACTTTTTATAATTATTTTAATGGACTTTATATTTTTACAGCAGTTTTAGTTTCACAGAAAACAGAAAGTACAGAGATAATCCACAAATCTTCTGTTCCTACTTTTGTATAGTTAGCTGATAATCAAAATTCCCCATGTGAGTGGGACATTTGCTATGACCAATGAAACTACAATGATACATAATTATCGAGCGAGTACAAAGTCAACATTAAAATTCAGTTCATCATAAAGTAACAAAATGGAAGACTAACACCCAGGAGTGGCCAAGATTAGCACCAAGAATTTTGCTCCATGACTTGGAGGCCAGCCACATGTGCTAGGGGAAAAGGAAGCTCAGATAGAGAAGGGAGAACCAAATAAAGGGTGTTGGGAGAATCTTCCCAGGATGGGAGAAGCATGCTGAAAGCAGACTATGGATCAAACATGATTGACACTCAATGCCTCTCTTGCAAACCACAGGACCCAAAAGGAGAGAGAGAGAACAAAAGGGAATGCCCTGCCACAGAGGCAGGGTGGGATGGGGGGACGGTAGATGGGAGGGATGCTGGGACCCGTGGTGGTGGAGGATGGACACTGGTGGAGGGATGGGTACTTGATCACTGTATAACTGAAACCCAAGCACAAAAATCCGTAAGTCTATAATTGCACCTCATGGTGTTTCACTAATGTAAAAAAAAAAATTCAGTTCATTCTATAAAATTATAACAAACATTGAATGGCAAGTATACATCATGATAGTATCATACTGAGTAATTTCACTGTCATAAAATCCTCTAAACTCTGCCTACTCAACCTCACACATCCCTATTCTCTTGCCACCACTAATTCTTTTCAGTTTCTCCAGTGTTGCCCTTTCCAGTGTGCCATTTAGATGGTCCCAGACAGTATGCTTTCACTTAGTAGAAAACACATTAAGTTTCTCAATGCCCTGTATACATTCCTATTATTACCAGCATTCTGTCATCATTCTTAAGATTTGCACTTAAAGTGGGTGTTGGTATCTCATTAATTTACATTTCCACCTGCATTTAAAATACTAATGAGGGTTGACTAAGCGGCTTAAAATTCCTGCTTTTATTTTAAGTGTGAGATTTTTGAGTTGAATTTTTCATGCCACTGCACTCACCAAGTAGTTGGTCCTAATTTCTCTGCTATATGGGAACTTTGCACCACATCTGTAGCCCACTGCTGTCAAGTATATGAACCAAAAAGGTTACAAACTTCAGTGACACAACTAAAGATGAACAATGACAGAGATCAAAGAGCACTGTGTGAACAACAAGCCATCTCAAAGGTCCATATACTGTAGGTTATGCCCACACTTCCCCAGTGTAGCTGATGAATTCTAATATAATCTGGGGATCTTTAATGCTCACCGAGCTAACTTTTCTGAATGTTGAGGGATATGGATCCAATTTCATTATTTTTATGGGCTTAACCAGTTTCCACACAGCATTAAAGAGTCTTCCCTTGCTTCACTTAATGCACCAAACTCCACTGTCAAAGATTAAACTGCTCATAAATCTCAGGAATATCACTGTCCATATATTTCATGGCTTCCCTCTAGGCTCTTAATTTAAAAAAAAAAAAGGACTCTTAATTCTATTCTATTGGTATGAGAGTTTATCGTTATTCCAGATACACAGTATTTTGGTTATTATAGCTTTATTGTACAAGTTAAATGAAAAGAGCACCTCCCATTTCTTTTATTTTTTCAGAATACCTTTGGCTATTAATGGAGATAACTGATATGAATTAAAATTTATAAAAATTTTAGCAGATGATGAGGATTACACCGAATCTCTGTAATGTTCTAGGTAGGATGGTCATTGACAATTCTAATTCATGAACCTGGAATGTTTTAAATTTCCTAATACCATCTATTTATTTTCAATAGTGACTTAAAGTTTTCAATGTATAAGTCTTTCACATCCTTTGTTAACTTGATTCCTAGGTATCTGATGTATTTGGATACTTCCACTGGGGTTGCTTTTTCCACTTTTCTCCCTCCTAGTTCTTTGCTGACATAAAGGAAAGTGCATAGGAACTAGAAGATATCATGTTGGGTGAAATAAGACAGAAAAATACAAACACAGGATGATCGCACTTATCTGTAGCATAAAGAATAAATGGATGAGGAAATGCAATATAGTTAAGGGGGATGCCTCGATCACTCTTGAACCCAGTGTCGAACTGCAAAAACTTGGAACCAGGTTTTCTGAGAAATTAAACCACCAAAATTTACGTGTTTGGGAGCCATGCACACACACCACCATACAGGATCATTTATCAGCCTTGTTCCATAGACTTGTAAATATATCTTGAAAAAAGATCAAAAAGATGCAGCACATCTTCTCAGACCTGCAGATGGCTGAATAATCCCAGGGCATATCGGAGCAGGGCAGCATAGCCTGGTACTTGTCCAAACAGAATCCCTAGCAGCCACTTGCTCCCACAATCCAAAATCACCATGCACCCAACTGGATTCCACCATCTCTTGATAGATCTTACCAAGATAATAGCTAGCTGAAAATTCAATCATACAGGTTTTGTGACTGAAATCTCCAGGCTTCTCCCCGCACCTCCCTGTACATCTAGAAGCCCCAGCAGTCAGTTCCACACACCAAGGCTACCACCCAGTTAAAAACGCCACTCCAGCTGTACCTTTCTGATAAAAATACTGAATTCCCTGTATTGCAAACTATAATGCACAAAAGGGGAAAGAGAGACAGAGACAGAGACAGAGACAGAGACAGAGAAGAGAGAGACAAAGACAGACAGACACAGAGAGACGGAGGGGAAGAGAGAGAGAGAGAGAGAAAGTGCCATAGAGAACAAGCTGTGGGGGGGAGTGGAGGGGGGGAACTGGATAAACTGGTGGTGGGAAATATACACTCGTGGAGAGATGGGTGTTAGATCATTGTATGACTGAAACCAATCATGAACAGCTTTGTAATGGTCTATCTCACGGGTGATTCAACAAAAACTTTTTAAAAAACTCAACTATCAACAACTTTGTAAATCAAAGTTCTTTAATGAAATAAACTTTTTTAAAAAAAAAACTTCCTAAGATAGAGGCAGGCTGGGGGGTGGGAAGCAGGAAAGAGACTGGGACACTGGTGGAGGGACTGGTATTAGAACACTGTGCATATAAAATACAACCACGAATACCTTTTAACATTATAGTTCACAGTGATTCAATGAAAAAAGAAACTGATTCTTAACTTTAGATTTCATAGCCTGCTATTTTGCTATACTGGATTATTTTTGAGAGTTTCTTCGTGGAGTCTTTAGGGTCCTCCACTGATATAATCATGCCATCTTCCAATACTGAGAGGATAGATCCTTTCCCAAATTTGATGCCTTTCTTTTTCTTGTCCAACTGCTGTGATGAGGACTTTAAAACCTTTAATAATAATATCAGAAAACAGGGAGAAAGTTTATTTAGTGACAAATTTCAGTGAGAAAACTATCAGTTTCTCACCATAATGTTGGTTCTTTGTTAAACGGTTGTTGTAAATGGGCATTACTATCTTGAGGTACATTCTTTATATCCTTGTTTAGCTGAGAAATTTTATCATGAATGGGTGATGAATCATCTCAAAAGCTGTTTCTGGGTCTATTTATATGACCATATGGTTGCAATTTTTCCATTTGCCGATAGAGTGTACTATATAAATTCATTTGTGTATAATAAATCAATAAATTCATTTGTGTATAATAAATCATCTTGAATCTGTACAGGAATCCTACTTGACTGTAGTATATCCTCATTCTGATGTATGTCTTTGTTCGGATCACTAAAACATTGTTGAACTTGAGGAATTTGTCTTCTTTTTTAATAGAATCCACTAGAAAGCCCACCCAGACCTGGACTTTTGTTATTGGAGAGGTCTTTACTGTTTCAATTCCATCACTCATTATTGGTCAGTTTAGAGTTTTGACTTTTTCCTAATTAATCTCACAAGGTTGTGCAATTCTAAAATTTATCAATTTCTTCTAAATTTGCAGCCACATTCATAGTGTTCTTCATAGGAACCACTATTACCTTTTGTATCCGAAGTGTTGTAATTTTTCACTTTCATTTCTGATCTGACATTACATAGGTGTTCTCTTTCTTTCTATGAAGATAGCTATTGGTTTGTCAATCTTGCTTATTCTTTTGAAAAATCAAGTCCTGGTTTTACTTATCCTATGTACTGTTGACCTGATTACCATATCATTAATTTTGCCTCTAATTTTGTATTTTTCCTTCTTTCTTATTTTTAAATTCATTTATTGTTCTTCTAGCTTTGTCTGCTATAGAATTAGGCTACTGTTTTGAGTTATTTCCTAATATAAGCCTGAATTACTATGAAATTCCCACTTAGTACTGTTTTGCTTTATCCCATCAGCTCTTAGAGTTTCAATCTCACTTGTGAAGAGCAGAGTTTCTCAATTGGGGGTCATATGGAACCCTGTAACCTCCAATATATTCCAAGGAGGCAACAGAATAATTATGCAAATGGAGGCCACAGTCAGAGGTGGGAGGTTACAGGTAAGACTGGGCCTCAGGGGGGAAAAAACGAAAGACTGAAAGACAGCAACAAAAGACAGCTTGATTCTCAAGCTTTTTTAAAGTCATCTTTTAAATTCCCTTTTTTTTTTTTTTTGTAATTTCCTCTTGACCTAATAGTTATTTAACAGTATACTATTCTGTTTCCAAATACTGGAGCTTTACACCCAATTTCTTTAATGCTTAATTTCTACTTTTATGATACTGGGGCCTGAAAAATTACTTAATATGATTTCTGTTTTTGTGACTTTATAGACACACACTGTGCCCAATTTGTGGCCTATACTAGAGAATATTACATAAGCATTAGAGTAAAATGTTGATTTTGTTTTTAGATGGGATTTTCTGTACACGTCATCAAATTCCCAACTTAGGATTTTGTTTTCTTACTGATGTTCTATCTAGTTGATCTCTCCAATGATGTGGAATGTCAAAGTTTTCCACAATTTTGTTGCCACTGATTCATCTCCTCGGGTATAGTAGAAGGTGCTTTATAAACTTTCCTTCCCTTTATTTCATATACATATGTTGATAAGAATTAAGTTCTTTTGATTTATTGGTCCTTTACCAGTATGTGATGTTTATCCTAGCTCTTATTTACTTTCTTTAACTAGAATGCTACTTGGTCAATATAAGTGTGTATGTCGCTGACACTATTATTTTCATTTTTGTTTGGGGGCCACAACGAACAGTGCTCAGGGCTTACTCACGGTTCTGCACTCAGGAGTCACTTCTGGTGGACTCAGGGAGACCACGCGGAGACCACGTTGTGGAACCTGGATCAGCAACATGCAAGGCAAGCCCTACCCACTGTACTATCACTCAGGCCTACCCCTGACATTAGTTCCTCTACCATTAACCTGTATGATCAATTTCTAACCTTTCACTCTGAGCCTGCATTGATGCTGAGGTAAATTGTATCTCTTCTAAGCAACAGAAGGTTCAAATCTGTCTTCTGAGAGATTTAAAGGCCATTCTGTGCCTTCTGTGTATGTCTATGCCTTTTGATAGGAGAGTTCAAAATATTGATAATTTAGGGAAAGTATTAATATGAAGGAATTTGTTTCCATTTTTGTTTCTTTTTTCCATCAATTATCGGGTTTTGTTTCGGGTGACCCCACCTCACAGAGTTCAGGACTTACTCCTGGTTCTGATTTCAGGCAGGGGTTACTGCTGGTGGTTCTCAAAGAACCATATGGGGTGCTAGAGATTGATACCTGGTTGGATGTATGCAAGGCAAGCGCCTTACCTACTGTGTTATCTCTCCTGCCCCAAAACTAGTTTTTTTTTGTAAAAACTTCAGTTTTCCTTGAAGAAATGGTTTAGATGCAACAAATGTTTCCAGTTATGTTTTGAGAATGTGCACCATTCAGTTTTGATGGGTCTTTATGTTGATGCCACAGAACCAAACATAGATTTTTTCCTTTTTGGGTACCGTGGACCTACTCCCTCCTATATAAAATTGTAATGCCTACAAAAGCTGTATCAGTAAATAGCACTGTAGCACTGTCCTCCCATTGTTCATCGATTTGCTGGAGCGGGCCCAGTAATGTCTCCATTGTGACAATTGTTACTGTGTTTGGCATATTGAATACATCACAGGTAGCTTGTCAGGGTTTGCCGTGCAGGCGAAATACTCTTGGTAGCTTGCCAGGGGCTCTCCCAGGGGGTGGAGGAATTGAACCCAGCTCGGCCGGGCCGGCTGCTTGCAAGGCAAACACCCTACTGCTGTGCTCTCCGCTCCAGCCCATCAGTAAATAAAAAACTTAAAAAATTTAAAAATCATTGTATCCATGTTCTCTTTTGCAGCAGATAAAATAATAATTTATTTTATTAAAAATATGCTTATAGTAATGAAAATGAGGCAGTATATATTAAAGAACTAAACCCAATATGGTGGTGGAAGGGATGTCTTTCTTAATTATTACTCAAGAGGCTAAGGCCTCTTGAATAGTGATTGAGGGACAGCAGGGAAATAAGTAGGATGAGAATAGGAAGAAAAGGAAATGACCCTTAGGAAAGAAATTCCCAGTATGGAATGTCACGAGGATGAGCCCAGGAGATTCGCCCAAGATATACAGAAGCTAATTCTCTCAAACATCCTGCTCTTCCACCTTCCATCCCTTCCTAACACTCTGCATTCTTTACCCAATGCAAAGAGCCTGCTCATCCCCCTAGTTAAAAAGGCATAAAAAGCACTGGAAAGGCAATTCAGGAGTTAAGACACTGTCTTGCACTCAGCTGAACAGGATCAACTCTGGGCACCATATAAAGTCCCCAGGTACCACAAGGAGTGATCCCTGAGCACAGAACTAGGAGTGAGCCCTGAGCATAGCTTGGTGTGGTCCAACTACCATCCCCAGTCCCAAATATAGAAGGAAGACTTTTCCCACCTTCCCTGGGAATTCAGCTTAAGGAAACCAAATACCCCTGACTTTCCTTTCTTTTCTTTCCTTTATTTTTTTCCTGACTTCCCCTTCCTTTCTCAAATAATTTTTCTACAAATTTGCCCACTTTCTCTCCAGTCCCATTTTCCACCTTGGCTGCTTAAGGACAAGACACAGGGAGTGTTCCCAGGGATCCTCAGCCTGGCAGAGCTAGCCGGGTGGTCCAGTGCTGAGACCTGGCAATGAGGCGTACCTAGAACCGGCTCAGGCCTCGTGCTGCTGTCAGGGTCACCTGGCAATGCTCAGGGGTAAAGCTTATTTAGTTTCCAAAAGTGGTACCAAACAATGTTTTTAAGTCAAACAAGATAAATTACTTAAGCAGATTTTATTATAAAATTAAGAAAATTTCAGAATGAAAAAAAACAAACCTTCATCATCTCTGCCTCTATCTGCTGGTGAACACCTGCGTAACTTTTCTTCACCTGCTGCTTGTCCTTGATCATCATAGTGAGCCTATGGAGGGGTCCAGAATTGAGATCCTCTGCATGGGTCTTCATTATCTTACTTAGCTGCTCTGTCTGCTGAATCATAAGTAGCCAAGACTTTTAGAAGAAAAAAGAAAGAAAAGAAATAAAATTAACTCCTGTGCTAGAGCCTTCACTTCGCCATACTTTAAGCTGTTCAAGAACTTTAAGCAGTCAGTTTTACACAATTTATTACATTAATTAAAATGGCTGATTCTACGAAAATTGTTACACAAAAATAAGTGATTCATATTTAAAATCTTCAATATCTAGTACGGCTGGAGCGATAGCACAGCGGTAGGGCAATTGCCTTGCACGCAGCTGGCCTGGCTGAGCCGGGTTCCATTCCTCCACCCCTCTCAGAGAGCCCCGCAAGCTACTGAGAGTATCGCGCCCACACGGAAAAGCCTGGCAAGCTACCCGTGATGTATTCAATATGTCAGGCAAGCTACCCATGATGTATTCAATATGTCAAACACAGTAACAAGTCTCACAATTGAGATGTTACTGGGTCCACTCGAGCAAAAAGATGAACAACGGGAGGACAGTGACATTACAACTGATTCACACTTCAGTAATAAAAACCTTCAAAGAATACTAGCAGATGGATGAATGCATTCTCTAAGAGTTCTCACTTGCAGTCTTTATCACTTCTTCTTTTTCAATGCTTCTACTGACATAATGCTTCTACTCATACCCCTGAAATTCCTCAATAAATAAGGTCACCATTTACTAATGATCAAATACAATAGAAATTTATTCATCTTCATTCTTCTTCCCCCCCCTTAAGGTAATGAGGAATTACCAAAGTTGAAAATTCATATAATTATAGAATAGAATCCCATGTATTAATGAGACAACAAAAAATGCTATGTACATTAATAGGATTAATCTGACAAATTAGCAAAAATAAAGGTAAAGAAAACATAGTATGCTACTGATCAAAAGTTTCTATTTTAGTTGAATTTGAAAATTTTTAAACATATAAAGACAAAATAATACATAAGTACATGTACTATAAAGCCAACACCAAACATTACTATATCTGTGCTGTCTAATTTTTTAAATTGACACATAAAAATCCATCTTTATTCATTTTGGTTCATTTTTGTATCGCACCAATGTTGCTCAACAAGGCATGGACAAGGCATGGGATTCATATGGTATCACATGTCTATTCCTGGCTCTGTGCTCAGGGATATGTGGTGGCAAGGATTGACCCTGGGTGGTTCTGTACAATGCAAGTGCCTTGTTCACTACACCATTTCTCTGACCCCCTCATTCATTTTCAACCTTGACAACCACTAGTAACTCACCAAATTTTGAAGTTCCCCTTCTCGCTTTAATTTTGTTTTTTCTGGGAAGAGAGGATGGTGGAGGGGAAAAGAATGACCTTTTCAATAGCATTTTATATTCCAATATACCAAACATGTCTTCCCACCTTCCTAAAACATTCTTTTCAATCTTTGTGCCTGATCTTCTTTAGCTATATATGTCTTAAATATTTAAATATTGATACTCTCTAGATTTTTTCATATTCTCTTTTCTTTTTAAGTACTGGTAATCTTAATGATCTTTGTAACACAAATACCTTACCTCAATAACAGTAAACAGTGGTTTTAAAACAAAGCAGCACATAGAAACTATTGGAAAAACAAGTCATCTGCTATTAGACATCTAACTTGTAAATGCCAAAAGTGAAAAAAGATTGCTCTTCACTGTAAGTCACCAAAATTACATTCAAAAATAATTACTGGATCTCACTACATACAATCAGGATGAATTAAAACCAAAGATACAAAAAACAGACAATGTATGGTATTTTTACAAGAGTATGTTTTCTGTTTTTATCTGTGAATGAATATAATTCTTGTGTTAATATTCTACTCTAATTCAAATATCACAGCAGAATATAATATTAAAGTGAAATAGGTAAATAAAATAAAATTATATTTTAAAAGAAGAAAAATCTTAGTCACAGAAAGATATGACAAAAATCTAATTTCATAATAATGGTTTTTACATACTCAATATATTTTTAAAATTAACCTTTAAGGTATTTCACTTTTCCTTATTTCACTTTATTTCACCTTATTTCACTTTAAGGTATTGCACTTTTCCCATGCAAACAGAACATTTTCCAAGATAGACGACATGCTGGGCCACAAAACATACTTCAATAGAATCAGGAAGATATAAATAGTATCAACTCTCTTTTCAGACCACAAGGCACTGAAGATAGAAGCTAATCACACACACAGAAATGGAGAATCAAATCAAACACATGGAAATTAAACAACTCAATTTGGAATAATGAGTAGGTAAAGGAGGAAATCAAGGTAGAAATCAAAAGATACCTGGGTACCAATGAGAATGAAGAAACAAACTATCAGAATTTGTGGGACACAGCTAAAGCTTAAAGTCTTCAGGGGAAAATTTATGGCTCTGCAAAAATTTCTCAGGAAGACAGAAAGGGTCCACATAAATGACTTCACAGATCAAATCTTAGAAAAGGACCAACACAAGGAGCCCAAACCAGGCAGAATGAAAGAAATAATAAAACTTAGAGTAAAAATTAATAACATGGAAACACAAAAAAGGTCCAAAAAATTAATGAAACCAAGACCTGGTTCTTTGAGAAAATAAGCAAGATTGATAAACCACTAGCAAGACTCACAAAGGAAGAGAGAGAGAACTCTAATGAACCAATCAGAAATAAAAAGGGGGACATCACAACAAAAACCAAACAAATGATCATCAGAGATTACTTTGAAAAGTCTATGTGCCACGAAACAAGAAATTTATAAGAAATGGATAAATTCCTGGATTCCTATAACTGCCCACAGCTGAGCCAAAAAGATCTGGAATGCATGAATAGACCTATCACCATCAAGGAAACTGAAACAGTAATCAAAAGTCTTCCTAAAAACAAAAGCCCAGGTCCAGGTGAATTCACTAGCGAATTTTTCCAAACATTTAAAGAGAACATATCGCCAGTCTTTTCAAGCTTTTCCAGGAAAGTGAAGAAACAGAAATTCTCCCAAACAGTTTCTATGAAGCACATATCACCCTAATACCAAAAGTAAAGACACCACAAAAGAAAGAAAGTTACAGGCCAATATCCCTGATGAACACGGATGCAAAGATTCTTCACAAAATATTAGCAAATAGATTTCAACAATTCATCAAAATGATCATACACCACAACGAAGTGGGATTCATGCCGAGGATGCAAGGATGGTTGAACTTTAGCAAGTCAATCAACATAATCCATCATAGCAGACGCTCAGACCAAGCCTCAAGCGTGAGTGAAGTCCCAGAACCTTGAACGGGAACCCAAAACAGAGATCCTCTGCCTGCACCCCCCAGTCTCTGGTGACCCAGGGAACACAATCATAAACCACACCCTTCCAGCACCAGATAATCTTCTCATTGGCACCTTCCAGAACTCAGGATGCTCCTTCCAGATGGGAATATAAAATGAGGCTTCCAGAACCATGCCACCGGACTATGTGCAAGGCTGTGGTGCAGGTGAGAGCCCTCCCCACCCCAACCACATGCCTGGAAAGCTCCCCATGGTGTATTTGATATGCTAAATACAGTAACTACAACAGGTATCATTCCCCTGAGCCTAAAAGAGGCTCCAATCTTTGGGAAATGGTGAGTAAGAAGAGGCTGCTAAAATTTCAGGGCTGGGAGAAATAGAGACGTTACTGGCACCCGCTCAAGTAATTTGCCAATCAACAAGATGACAGTGATACAGTGATACAGTGATCAATAAAAGAAAAGATAAAAGCCATATAATCATATCGGTAGATGCAGAGAAAGCATTTGATGAGATCCAACACCCGTTTATGATGAAAACTCTCACCAAAATAGAACTTTCTCAATATAGTCAAAGCCATCTGCTACAAGCCTATTATGGCAAACATTATCTGTAATGGGGAAAAACTAAGAGTCCTCCCTCTATGATAAAGCACAACACAAGGATACCTACTCTCACCACTTCTATTCAATCACAGTCACGGTCCTCCCGTTGTTCATCGATTTGCTCGAGCAGACCCAGTAACGTCTCCATTGGAGACTTTGTTGTTACTGTGTTTGGCATATCGAATACATCATGGGTAGCTTGCCAGGCTCTGCCATGCGGGCGAGATACTCTCGGTAGCTTGCCAGGCTCTCCAAGAGGGGCAGAGGAATCGAACTTGGGTCAGCCATGTTGGCTGCATGCAAGGCAAATGCCCTACTGCTGTGCTATCGCTCCAGCCCACTTCTATTCAATATAGTACAGAAATACTCATCATAGTAGTTAGGCAAGAAAAAAGACATTAAGAGCATCCATATAGAAAAGGAAGAAATCAAGCTCTCACTATTTGCAGATGACATTATACTGTATCTAAAAAACTCTAAAGCCTCTACCAAGAAGCTCCTAGAATAGACTTGGATAGTAACAACAGATTTGTACAGTAAAGTTGCAGGCTATAAAATCAATATCCGAAAGGTCATGGCTTTCCCCGGTCACAGTCCTCCCGTTGTTCATCGATTTGCTCAAGCGGGCCCAGTAACGTCTCCATCATGAGGCTTCTAGTTACTGTGTTTGGCATATTGAATACATCACAGGTAGCTTGCCAGGCTCTGCCGTGCGGGCGAGATACTCTCGGTAGCTTGCCGGGCTCTCCGAGAGGGGCGGAGGAATCAAACTCAGGTCGGCCATGTTGGCTGCGTGCAAGGCAAACGCACTACCACTGTACTATCGCTCTAGCCCTTACAGACATATAATAAGTCATGGTTATTATAATCCAATTATTGATAAGTTACCCCTAATAAACCACTTTTTAAATTTTCAGTAATATAAAATTTCAAATATTTATTAATCATGTAACTATTACACTACATGATAAAAAGTGAAAAAAGAAAAAAAGTGAACAGGCATATGATCTTTGACAAGACAAAAAACTATGCATAATAAGAAAATAGTTTTTTTCCTAGATGTCATGTCTTCCACTTTTGAACAGAAGTATGGTGGTGTAAATCAGTATTTACCATCACAAATCACTCAAATCATCCTGTTAATCGTC